AGAGTGCATAGAAGCATATTTAAAGTGCGTCGAAACATGTTTTGAGTGCGTCCAAACATGTTTAGAGTGCATTAAAACATTTTTAAAATAGGTTGAAACATGTTTAGAGTTCGTCTAAACATGTTTAGAGAGCATTAGAACATTTTTAGAGTGCGTCGAAACATTTTATTTTTTTTCATTCATGTAGTAGTAATAAAAGTCACAAACTTTCTTTCTCAGAGTCTTCTATTGCTTCTTCTCGTCCGCTTGAAATTATTTTTTCCGATGTATGGACCTCTCCCGTGCATTCGATTGATGGTTTCAAGTATTATGTGCTTTTTGTTGATCATTTTACACGCTATTCATGGTTGTTTCCACTAAAACAAAAATCTCATGTCCATGATACATTCATTCGTTTTAAATCCCTCGTCGAAAAGCGGTTTGCACTACAAAAAAAACCTCAATTATCAACGAATATTTCCGTTGAAATCGCCCAAATATCCGTTGAAAATCAAGGTTTTCAAAGGATTTTTCAACGGCCGTAACCCGTTGCAATACGATCGTTGAAATTAAGATTCCGTTACAGGCCGTTGATAATATCAACGGAATTTCAACGAGATATTTCCGTTGATAATATCAACGATTTGGCAACTGGCAACGGAATCTCCCGTTGATATTTTTCAACGTTTTTTTCAACGAATATATCCGTTCCATATTTCAACGTACGTTCGTTGATAATTACCGTTTCAAATTTGCAACGATAATGATCGGTGAAAAAAATCCATCAATACGACCAACAGAGTTTGCAACAGACGTCCGTTGATATTCCTTCTGTCAACGGATATATCCGTTGACATTCGGATAATATATTTATATTTATATTTATATTTATATTTATATTTATATTTATATTTATATTTATATATTAAAAATAATAGAAAATATAAATTAAAAATATAAATATTTAAATTATAAAATTAAATAACCGAAAACTAATTCAAACTTTCGGTTTCTTCGTCTTCGATGGTTCCGGGAGTTCGAGCGCTGGAGGTTCTGCCGGCTGAAGGTGTCGTGGAGGGAGGTGGAGGATGAACTCCTCTAAGCAGCTCAATCATGTGTTCGAGATAGTTATCTTCGCTTGCTGCTCATTCCATTTCGCCTGTTGTTCTGCTAGCTGTCGCTCCGTCTCTTCCTTCTGATGTTGGAGCAATCGTTCAGGTTGTTCTATCCGACGTTGTTGATCAGTATCGATCTGTACTTGCGGATGAACCGGCGATCCAAAATCTTCCAGAAAATCTCTCTGGAGACCTTCTAAACCGTAGATACGGCCTTTGTTCCGCTCTACAGACTACAAAATAATGTATATATTATATATAAATTATTTAATCAATAATAATAATAATTTAAAGATTGAAAAAATAAAATTGATTATATACCTCAACATAACACTTGTCTTGATCAGCAGGAGACAAGTTAGTACCCGATGATGAACTCGCAGCCGATGTTTGCGTGCGTTGTGATAACTTCTCGTTCACCAGTCCCAACACCAGTTCAGCTCGAGGATCGACAAACCGACCATCGGAACGTCTATGCATCCGATCAACCAACTCAAAAATGGACGGTTTTCGTCCCATTTCTCGTTGCTACAAATATAATATATAAAACATATTAAACTAATATATATTATTAATATATATATATATAATTATAATTTTTGATAAAATAAATAAAATTCATACCAATTCGTTCGTCCGCTT